GCGGCAGCGGGCCGGGACCCGGATCGGCGCGCGGAGGGCGCGGCGCCAGAGGCTCCGTGCAGCCGCGAGGGCGAGGAGGGGTACGTGGCGCGCGGGGCGTCCGCGGTGCGAATGTAGGAGGAGCGAAGCGCAAAGCCGACGGGTACAACCAACCTGATTCCAAGCGGCGCCAGACCAATAATCACAACTGGGGCTCCCAGCCCATCGCTCAGCAACCGCTCCAAGGCGGTGACCACTCGAGCTATTCCGGCTACAAATCTGACAACCAGGAATTTTATCAGGATTCTTTCGGGCAGCAGTGGAAGTAGACCAGCGCTAGGCTTTTTCTTCGGCTTTCTTCTCATCCTTAGAGACTTGATCCCATTGGCTCCAAATTGGTGACATCTGGCAAGAGATCATTTTGTACATATTTTCATATTCCAAGTAGTCAGTCACACTCGGTGTTGCTTTTTTTTTTCTTCCTTATTTTGAATGCTTCCTTTTAGCTGTTCATTTAGCATCTAGCGTTTGTTTTTATCCCCTCTGCTTGCCATGTTTATTGAAAATGAAATTACTATTTGTACTGTCACGAAGTAATGCGTGTCTTGTTGGAGAAAAAAAAAAAAGAAGAAAAAAAAAAGGTCCGCCGTCGCGGTCCTAACTTTTGGCTTGTATTTTTTGCTGTTTGTCTGCTTTAATAAACGTGCACACACACGTGCACAAAACCCAACCACCGTGTTGCCAATTCCTCCAATTGAACCAAATTCTCTGTTCAAATTGCCCGCCGGCCGGCCGGCCGTCAAAGGTTTGCCAGTGGCGTCGCTTTGCATGCGGTCCAACCAAATCACCCTCAGGTGCTCATCGTCATGTCTCGTCCGACGCGATGCGGCCGCCGCTCCAATGCCAACTTAAATGTCGCATGCGTGTTTGCATGCGTGTCGCGTTTGTCCGCTTGAGCTGCGGCGGCCGAGCTGGTGTGCGAGTCAGTGAGACGCCGTGCCCTTTCCTTGTCTAATTGCATCCTTTTGTCACGACTAGCAGGGGGAAGGCGTCTGGGCCGATCCCGATGCGTCGCCGTGACGACAGCGCCGCCGCCGGATGCCGCGGTAAGGTCACACGACTCATTGCTCCAATGCTGAGACCACTTGATTGTTCCTACCTGTGACGTGACCGTCTGCGGAGGATGAAGCTACCTCACGCGCTCTCCGGCTCATTTGTTCTTCGGACCTCGAGCGCGTTCCGTCACGGCCTTGCCGGCTGAAGAAGTTCCGGTGAATGTGATGGACAAGTGGAGGCTGACGTGTCGTTTGCAGGCTCTGCGCTCGCTCGCTCGCTCGCTCTCTCTCAGGATCAGCCGTCTCGTTCCCTCTGCGTCCCGCGTCCTAGACGCATAATTTTCCTGCGGGACGCGCAGTTCCAAATAATGTGCGTTTTTGGGACGCAAGGAAATTTCTCAGTCAAAACAACAACAACAACAAAAAACTACGGCAGGCCTGAGGGTTTCACGGTAACGATCGTTCCCGGTAGCGTGTCGTTTCCGTGGCGTCATTTTGACGGTACCGAAAAATGGTTTAACCATAAAAGTCACCGCACATGAGTTAACTGTACGCGATCAAGTCTCTCCTGCGTGATCAACGCGATTTCACTGTGTGTGTATGGGTGTTTGTGGTGTGGTGTGTGAGTGTGTTTCTTCTAATTTACTTTTGTTTTCAGTGTCGGGGGGGGGACGGAACAGATAACGTTATGTGCGCACGCGGGTTGCTATTTTAGTCCGAAAACTGAGATGGCGGCGAAAAAAACTTACAAAGGTCGACTAATTACGACATTTAAGAAGTGGGAATGCCAGTCTGATTTTTCGTATGAATCGTCCGAAGGGCGTATCACTAAACTCGCCTGTGACGTCTGCACAGAACACGAGAGCGAGATACGACGAGAGGCACGATGACGAGGCGAGTTGCTCATTAGATCTATAGGCTAATCGCTCTGAAAAATATGATGAAACAGTCTTGGTTATTGTATAATTTACGGGTTGGAGCACGGTAACTTTAGGAATAAAACATTCGTCACAAGGTGTAGTAATGCCAACGTTAACTGTTGGTAGAACTCATGATGACGTGTGTTAGATTGTTTCGTCAAATTGATAGTAGATTACACACGCATCGTCTTGGGAAGACGATGTCAAGCCACATCAATACTGACCAGTCAATTCATCTTTGTAGCGTGAGATTGGAAAAAAAGACTCTGATTTTGTGGTATTCTGTATTCATGATGCCATATGACTACACCATATTTTGATCCATTTATTTTTTGGAATAAACCTGGAGTACACAGCTGCTGATGTCATGTTCATTGTTCATGGATAGTTTTCAAACATTTACCCTTGAAACATTATCAGTCAAAATAGAAAAATGGATTCCCATGATGAATGTTTACGGAACCCAAAATGAGTTACCGTGGTTTCCCATTGGGGATTCCGACGGAACCGAAAAACAGTTACCGTGAATTTCCGAAATCCTCAGGCCTGCTACTGAATTATTAAAATTTTTGCAGCGTTTGTTTATTATTGTATGTATATGTTGTTGTTTGTGTTATTATCATATGCAATTGCATAAGTAGACCATTTCAGAATTCGAAATTTGGGACTCTCAAAATGCATAATGCGACTCATACTTTTCTGATCAGCGAGTCCCTGGGGGTAAACTGTAAAGTTACCACTGCAGGATGACACGACGACACGCTTTCACGTATGATGAGGCATCGCTTCAAGATTTGTTTTGACTGCCTGTCCACCTTTTTGAGCTATTGGTCAAAAATCAGCGGCCTTCAAGTCCATTTAGTGGCAAACTGAGAATTCTATTTTTTAAAAAAAAGCCCCGGGAGAAAATAACGGGCGAACCGCTTCTGATTCCTTTGTGAAGCTTTTTTTTTTTTTTTTTGCTAAAAGAAAAAAAAATCGACTTTTTTGCAAATGAAATGTTTTGTATTGTACAATAATTTCTACCTATTTTACGAATAAACATGTGGGGGAGGGGGCTATTTTTCATTTATTTATGTATTTATTTTGCAAAGTAGAAGTAAAAACATGGTTCCAAGTCAAGATATGGACATCTTTGAAATCATGAGATCAACTGAAAAAGTGACGTACCTTGTCGTTGAACTTGAGAGGAAGTGACGTTTGTCAAGTGTGGACGGCCGTGTCCGTATTTGTAAGATCCCGTTCTGGGTTCTGCGCGGAAATGATCGAAAAGACAAATCGATTAACTATCCAAAAGCGACACTTGTCAACACGACGTTAGCTTAATCCCGTTTGTGGTGAGTGCTAATCTTGGAACAACAAACGTGGTTCCGCGTGAACCGGCTCAATTAGCAACCCAAGTGGAAATAGAATTCCGTCTGTCTTGAAGACGCTCCACGACAAACCGGGAACGCCGCTTTCCTAAACGGAGGCCCTCGCGATGACAATTGGTTTTGTTTGAGTGACGAAACAAGACGCTCCTTAAATCGCTGTAAGTGTCCTTCGCCGATGCTCACCGTATTTTTACTTCAAGTGTTTCTGACGGCAACATTTGCTGCTCGCGCTCATTCTCATTTGGTCTCGTGCGCTTGTGAGTACTTTGTACTTTTTAGTTTGTCGTTGTAGGGGCGCCGGGATGACTGTCGTGTCGGCTTTTTTGCGAGCTCTGCGGCTGGACGCGCTCTTCGCCCGGGCTCGCCAGTATCCGCTCGCCTACTGCCTGCTCGCCGCCATATTGGCCGCCACGATCCTGCTCCACAGGTTAGCGTCATACGTCATCGGGGCGGCGACAAATACTTGAACGAAACGAACGGGTTTCTGCCCGGGCGACGCGCACACGAATGGGACGGACTCGTTCCCCGACCCCGTCGGTGACCTTTCTAAGCGCAGTGGAAGCAGGACTGGGCGATTCCAAAATAGAGTACCGTGATATCACGTGACTAGCTCGGATTGGGGGGGGGGGGCGGAGATGCGCAGGGCCCCAGCCAATCAGAGCCCTTCGAACTTTGTTTTGCCACTTGACCAAGTGGACGGAATGAGCCGCTCAATGAGAGAGGCGCAGCAGTAAACAGCAAGTCGTCGCCACGTTGACCGAACGCCAGGGATGGCTACCTTTACACGGTTTCGATTCTCGCTACGTGGGAATCGATACTGCTACTCCACACTACCAATTTTCGGGACTTTTTGGGGGGGGCGGGGGTTGTTTGTGGTCATAAACGACCATACATTTTACAATCAAACACATGTAACAAGTATTTTTCAATGCATGACAATTTACTCAATTTAAAACTAAAGAGCCAGAGAACGGAGCCAAAACGAAGCTACAATTTTACAATTCGCCATCCATTATCCAAGTCGCTTACCTCGCCAGTGCCGGAGCCTATCCCAGCTGTCTTTGGGCAGTTGGCACGGTGCACGCTGGACTGGTTGCCAGCCCATCGCCGGGCAAAAAAAACCCTTGGCGCCCACAGTCAACCGACCATCCGCGGTTTGGGGATGTGTGCGGAAATCCACAGTCTCTGGAGAAAACGCTACGCGCGCACGGGGTAACGTGCAAACCCCCGCGTGGGAAGGCCGCGGCCCGGAATCAAACCCGTGACCTCTGCACTGCGAGGCAGACCGGTCGACCACTCTTCCATTTGACATTTAGGAAGGTATATAAATAATACGAAGAGTAAATTAATCTTACAAAACTGCAAAGGTCGAAACAAAAGTTCTTTGCGATGAACAACGCAAGGAATGAGGTTAAACAGAAGATCATTGTTTTTGTTCCTTGTGCAGTTGTTTTTCAAGAGCGCGAGGCCTAGCGCCATGAGTTCGAATCCACCTCGGATGAGTACGTGAACGAGATTGACGAGAAGAATTTTTGGGGATCAAATTCACGGTTTGAATGTACGCGAGGGTCCGGGTTAGGCTTCGGTTATGCTCGCTGCATTTTGGCCACGCACTTTCATAAATTCACCCATCTGAAATGAGAAATATAGTGACCAAAAAGTGTTGTTTGAAAACACAATACCGTAACTTGTAACGACAATAAAGCCGCGCGCCGTTCAACACGAGCGACGACATCGAGCGACGACATCGGCGCCTTCCCTTTCAGCCTCGCACCTCCTGCAGGGACATCGCCAGCACCGAGAACTTCACCCGCCCCGCCGAGACCGCGAGGCAACGCAATTCTCCACAAGAGAAACACACCTGTGCCGTCCGCGAACAGCATTTACTTGTCCAAGCTGCTTTCTGACACAAAAAAAGGTCGGGGAACACTGTGGTAGGCAATACTCAGCGAACTAAACGATGACCCTTTTTTGCTTTAGCAAGAACGGGAAGCCAAGTAAGCGTGTTGTACTAAACACACACACAAAAAAAAAAAGGCAGCGCATATAAGCCGCAGTAAGCGAAATGCGAAATAGAGCGGGATGATTGTTCAGTACAGCGTTAGCATGTCGTTTGCAGGTACCTGCACATCCTGATTGGCTTGTGGTCTTTCCTGGTGGGCGTGGTCACCTTCTATTGGGCGCTGGAACCCGACTCGCTGCTCCCAAATGTCTTGTTCGCTTGTAAAGCGCCACCTAAGGTGAGGTGCGTTCATAAAGAAGAAGATGGCGGTGAGGATGACCACGTATGTGTGTGTGTGTGTGTGACAGCGTCAGGAACCAGAGTTGTTTCCTTCGGGTCGGAGCTGTGCAGTGTGCGGGAAGGTGAAATGCACGCGGCATCGGTACGTTTGTGTTGCGCCGCTTCGTGACATCCATCACACGTCCACCTCAGGGCAGCGGTGGAGAAGTCGCGCTTGATTGTCTTTGCGTTGAAGTGATAAAGTCCCAATTCAGCGTTGGCGGCGATTGTTGTTGTTGTTGTTGTTGCGGCATTCAGCCCGACGCTGCTCCTGGAGAACTACCAGCCGTGGTTGGGCCTGGAGCTGCACTCCAAGGTGGACGCGTCCATCGCAGAGGTGGGCGGGAGCTCGCTCTCACATGTCACGTGTCACGATGTACATGGCGCAACTAACATGTACAACAGTAAAGTGATACGCGGGGAACAAAGATGGGAGAAGGCACCGAACGGTCCAACTAAGATCAAAGCTGAGTCAAATGTCACCATCGTGTCGGTTACCGTTTGTTCTCCGCCTGTCGCGGGAAGGTGTTCGAGCTGGTCCTGGAGAACTTTGTGTATCCGTGGTACCGGTGAGTCCCCTCGGCGTTCCACCCCGCGGCAAAGGCGCAACGCCCTGACCTCCCGCGCGGACCGCAGGGAGATGACGGACGACGAGGCGTGCGTGGACGAGCTGCGCTGGAGCTTTCGCTTCCTGGCGTCCGTGTTGGTCCGCCGAGCTCAGAAGGTGACGCCCGCCTCGCGCCGGCCCCCGGGGAGCGGGTCAAATTTCAATGGGCGCGCCGCGTCTCCAGGTGGACCTTCCCGCCGTCCTCGCCGACCGCGTGATGAGGGCGGCCGTCAAGCACGTGGAGGTTCTGTCGAGGGCCCGCGCTCGAGGTCAGACGCGCCGCGCCGCGCCGTCCGCCGCTCGGCCTCGACGAACCCGTCGCTCCGCTTTTGTTTGAGTTACGAGTGAGCTGCGGACACGCTGCCACTCCAGCGAAGAGACCCCGCGCGTGGGCGTATGCGGGATTCTCAGTCTTGGTTTTGCCGTAACTGCGGGGGGGGGGGAGTTTGTCATGTTCGGGAACAGATCTGTGGCAATTCCCTTCATTTCAATGGGGGAAAACGGAGTTCCGAGCGGCTCGGAAGCGGATCGGGGCGCGGGCTAAACGCGGCGCTCTGGTCAGTCCGTCAAGGCCGGACGCTGCAGCAGGCGGCTCTGGAGGAGTACGGCGGCGACCTCCACGTGGCCGTGCGCAGCCGCAAGGACGAGCTGCTCTACCTCAGGAAGCTCAGCGAGATGCTCTTCCCGTACCTGATGCCGCCGAAAGCCACCGACTGCAGGTACCCGGGACTTGACCAAGTAGCGAGCGGAGGCGCCCCTCCTCCAAAGGGCCTTTTGCCTGCGGCGTGCGACTCGGTGGAGCGTCTTGCCAGGACGGCGCATCCTCCCGACCCGCCGGCGCGCTTCGGTGACTCACGCGTGCCGTCGACAGGTCGCTGGCGCTCCTGCTGCGGGAGGTCGTGTCGGGTTCCGTCATGCTGCCCACCATGGACTTCATGGCCGACCCGGTGAGTCCCGCCGGAGCCGCGGTCGCCGGCGGCTTCCGCTCCCCTTTTAACACCGGCATGAATTTTTCCAGGACACTGTGAACTTGATGGTGCTCAAGTTTGTCGACGACACGCCTGTAAGTAAAAAAAAACAAACGGAAGACACAGTCCACCCCCATTTCATTTCCCCAAATTCCCTTTTTCTTCTGTACGACCTCCAAGCAACAATTTTCCATCGCGTTAATCATCGTTATGGCGGCGGGTGAGCGGGGGCGTCTCCCAGCCGACAGCCGGGACAAAACGGCGTTCGTGCGCACGTTCGCAGCCAAGGACGCTCATCTCTCATCGCAGCCGTTGACCCCAAAAACTCCGTCGGCGGCGACTGGCGTGTTTTGGTTCGCGCTATCTGTGACATGTGACGAGACAAGATGGAACCGCAGCGCCGGCCGAGTGGAAAGTCGGAATCGGTGTCGAGAAAGGAAAGAGCATTCATCTCAACTGCTCACGCGGGTTTCTACGCCGCCGTCGGCCTCATCCGTCGGGACTTTTGGCTCGGGAGCCGCTGAGCCGCACGCATTTCGATTCTTGCAAAAGGATCAACTTCTCGGGTTCGGATCGGGGGATCTGGGTCGTACCTTGTCCGAGCCCTTCGAGATTCTCTCGTGATCGGGAGCTACGGCAACGGGGGCGTCCTCGAGCGAGGCACGGCGACGCCTACTGACGGGGAGTCGCGTTTGTGTTTGCAGCCCGAACCCGCCGCCGAAGCGCCGTCCGCTCGCGTTCCTTTCCTGCACAGATACGCCGACTGCGGCGGGAACAAGCGCTCGGTGAGTACCCGTGAGCCATCGACGGCGTTGGCCTCGGAGGTCTACGCGCGCCCAACCGGCCAGGCGTGACCGCGCGCGTCGCCCGAGCAGGTTCTCAAGTTGGAGCTGAAGGAGATCCGAGAGCAGCAGGACCTCCTGTTCCGCTTCATGAACTTCCTCAAGCAGGAGGGCGCCGTGCACGTCCTTCAGTTCTGCCTGGCCGTGGGTAAGAGCCCGCCCGCCGCCGGGCGCGCGCCGGCGTCCAGCCGCCCCACACCAACGCAACCGGCCGGCCGGCGTTTCCCCAGAGGAGCTCAACGACAAGATCCTGCGTCCGGAGCTGGCCGACTCGGAGCTGCGCCGTCTGCACGGCGAGGTGGCGCACATCTACCGGACGTACTGCCTGGACGAGAGCATCGACAAGATCAATTTGGACCACGCCGCGGTGGATGACATCAGGAAGGGTAAACCTGGCCGCTCCGCTGCCTTTTTTTTTTTCGTGGCTTGCCCACCGCCTGCTTCCGATTTGACCACGCTCGCGACATTTGCTTCTTCAGTCATTTTTCACCATTGAAATGAATGAAAATGCCATGAAGCCCCCCCCCCCCTCCGCCTGCCCCATAATTTCGAATGGCAATCATTGAAAGCTTGCTTGCCACGTTTTCCTTCCACTAAACAAGTAAACGGTGTGTCGCTCCTTCTGGGGTGCTTGGCCACCTGGAGGCAATGGAATAGACACATGCAGGGACATAAACCTTGAGATGGCTCTTCGCAGAGGATAAAGAAACCGTGCCTGTGATGACTGGCATCCCTGTCGACAGGTGAAGAGTTCAAATATCAGCGCGGATGCTCCGTTTCCTTTTTGTCAGTTGATTGCAAAACAGCTCGGAGAAACACTTCGGGACCAAATCAGAGGCCCGAATCCTAATTACGCGGAAACGCTAAGTACAATACGTTGCGAATAAAAACGACTGGCGGCGGAGCGTCCCGGGAACGCCTCGAAGTCGGCCCGAGCCTCGATCTCACCTTTGAGTCGGCCGCGGCGACGGGCTAAGCCGCGCGGCTCGGACAGGTCGCGGGCCGCGTGACCAAAGGTCCTCTCCCTCTTCCCGTCAGTGGCGGCCGGTCCGTACGGCGCCGTGGTCAAGCTGCGGACCATGCGCTGCCTCTTCGAGGCCTACGAGCACGTCCTGTCGCTCCTGGAGGGCGTCTTCGCGCCCATGTTCTGCCACAGCGACGAGGTAAGGCGGCACCCGGGCGCCGCCGGTTCCGCGGCGGAAGTTGACCTTGAGTGCGCTCAGTACTTCAGACACCTGCTGAAAGGAGCCGAGTCGCCGGCCAGGACCTTGCGAGCGGGCAGGTTGGTGGCGCCATCTCCCGACCTCGCCGGCCGAACGCTCCGTCCCCATCCGTCCTCGCTGCCGCTGTGCCCAGGAACGCCTCCAAGCGCGCCGAGTCGTTCGGCATCGGCAGGATCGGCAGTAAAATCAAAGGCGTGTTCAGAAGCACCGCCGTGGACGGCGCCGTCTTGCCACCCGGGGCCAGGACGGACGCCGACGACGGTGCGGTGAGCGAGCGCGGAACGCTTTGGGATTTGCGTTTGGTCTTCGTCCCTTTTTGGTGGCGAAGCTCCTCGGCTCAGAGGCCGTCGTCTCTTTCTGTCCGGTTGGCCCAATGCGTCGTTTTTGTTCGTCGCCAACCGCGCCGACGAGCGGCCCGTCACGTGTCCCGCCGCCGCGCAGGTGGAGGAGGCCACGGTGGTGACGGAGGACGACGTCCCCGCCGCCCCGGCCACGGCGGCGGCGGCGGGGAGCCTGAGGAGGCTGTCGTCCTGGACCATCGCCATCCCGTACGTGGACTTCTACGAGGATGACGCCAAGAGGGAAAAGATTCCCGTCTTCTGCATCGACGTGGAGCGCAACGACAGGAAGGAAAGTGAGGCGCGAGCCCGCCCGGGTTGGAAATGACACTTCCAATTCTCCCGACTGCTTCCGCGTGCGACATCGCCGAAAAGATCGGGGTCGCATCCCCGACGTCGTTCTCATGCTTTGATCGGCCGAGGGCCGAGCGAGTGCGGATGATCTCGGCTATCTGGCCGAGACCGGCTCCATTTGACCGGGCCATGACAGTTGGCGAAGGCAAACTTTTTTTTTTCCAAAGACAGTAGTAACTCGTCTTTGGACTAAATTCATGACGTGAGCTTTTGGGGGTTGAGTTGACACCTTGATTTTGGTACCGCAGCACAGCCGTCGACGTGAAGCGGGCCCGTCTTCTGGGAGTTGCGGTTCTTTGGACCGCGAGTCGCCCGGCGACCGGTAACAGCGACGTGCCGTCGTCGATTTGGGGATGTTGTTTTTTCCAATATTTTTAACGCCGCAATAATGCCGTTTTGTCTTTAAAACCTGTCAAGCGAGAAATACGCACACATGAGAGAGGGGGAAAAAAACGGATCAACACAAACAAAGCCGCTCTGAAAAGTCATGAAAACGAATTAAAAAAAAAAAGAAATACTCACAAATGTATAAAACTGTATTTTTGAAAGCAGCCATCGCCAGTCAAGGAGCAAGGTAATCCAATGCGACATTGAACAAGCAAGTCTTCTTCACACATCAGCACGCGCGCCACAAAGAAACCAAAAGGGGTCATCGTGTCACTTGCATCAAAAGTCGCAGTTTGGGGGCTCGCTCACTTGGTTCCCAAAGAGTCAGTCGCTCCTTCCTTCTGCCCGAGTGACGCCGACGGGACGTTTTCGGGAAGTGGCGCCACTTTTGACCGACCGATACTTCTTTGGAAATCTTGTCTTGCTGCGTGCGACTAAGAGGAAAGAACAAGACAGAAATGGGATTACTGGCAAGCAGTCTGTTTTTTTTCCAGTCGGACACGATCCCGAGCGCTGGTCGGTCCACAGAAGATACCTGGAGTTCTACGTGTTGGAGTCCAAACTGACAGAGTTCCACGGTAAGAGTCGCGCTTGCTCGGTTGACCGCCGGCAGAACTCCTCAAAGTGCCCCGCCTGCGCACGCAGGCGCTTTTGCCGACACGCAGCTGCCCCCAAAACGCATCCTGGGACCCAAGAATCACGAATTCCTCACCTCCAAGAGGGAAGACTTTGAGGACTACTTACAGGTGAGACCTCTTCAAAGCACACGATCGCCGATGTGACAGCGGGGTCGGGTTGTTTTTTCTTTTCTTTTTGGGTGGTGGGGGGCACGCCCGCAGAAACTCCTGCGCTATCCGGAGCTCAGCAACAGCCAGCTGCTGGTGGACTTCCTGTCTCCTCACGGCATGGGCGCTCAGTTTGAGGACAGGATGCTTCCCGACGTCAACTTGGGTACTTTCAAGCAGTCAACTTTGGCCACGGTGGATTGTAAGATTTCAACCAAATCTGCACCCCACCGCCCCCTCCCTCCGCAGGCAAAATTTTCAAGTCCGTACCGGGGAAGTTGATGAAGGAGGTGCGTGTCGTTCCCCCAAAGCCGCAGTTCCGCGCGTGGGCCGCAAGGGGGCGCTGCAGGCATTCAACGACGGGCCCGTCTCTCGTTTTTTCCAGAAAGGTCAGAACCTGGAGCCATTCATCCAGTCCTTCTTCAACTCTTGCGAGTCTCCCAGAGCCAAACCCGGCCGGCCCGAGCTGACCGTCCTCAGCCCGAGCGCCGACGCCAACAAGCGGGTTGGAACGCAAGCTCGATGCCGCTCGCGATGCGGTCGGCGCCGAGACGTCACCTTCCCCATCTTGGCCCGCAGCTCCTCAACCGGATCTACAGGAACGACGCCGACACGGCGGCCAAGGCCGGGAGGCCGGAGGAGCGCGGCGACCGCTCGGCGGAGGCGGGCCTGCACGGCACGTACGACTACCTGATGCACACGGGTCAGTTGCCGTCTTGTCGCGCCCCAAATTGGCGCCGGAGCGACGGCCTCCCCCCGCCCCGTCTTTGACTCCAGGTCGGCTGCTGTTCCGCATGCCGCGCTGGCTGGACGGCTTGCTGTCGGCGACCAGGATCCTCCTGAAGAACACCTTCGAGGCCTACGTGGAGCGGCGCGTGCGCGCCAAGGTGGACGCCGTCCTGCAAGAGCACCGCCTCGTCTCGCTCATCACGCAGCTACGAGGTCACGCGGCGCTTTCGGGAGCTTCGGCTCTTTGGGGAAGGGACAAAAATTCCGAGCGGGCCGCCGCAGATGGCCGATTCCGTGATGCGGGAACGTCATCTCCGCGGGATCGGGGGGAGGGGGAAGCTTTCTGACTGCGCCGTGTTCCCCTAGACGCCGTCTTCTCCGAAAGCGCGGAGGAGCGCGGCGGCGCGGCCAAGGCGGCGCGAGCCAAGCGGACGTTGGAGGAGATGACGGCCTATCTGCCCGGTGAGTTTTTGAAGGCCTTTCTCGGAGTCGCGCGACTCCCTGACACGCCGTTTGTCACGTGTGCGCCGTCCAGACGTGGTGGGGAAGTGCGTCGGCGAGGAGGCCAAGCGCGAGGGAGTCGGGCTCCTCTTCGAGGCTCTTCAGCAACCGCTCCTCAACAAGCAGGTCCGAAACGCCACGCAAGCGAGCGAGCGAGCGGCGACGCGGTCCGGCGCCGCCGTTCACGGTCCTTGTGGCGTGTGTTCAGATGTCGTACGTGCTGTTGGACATCGCCGTGCTGGAGCTCTTCCCCGAACTGCGCCGATGAGCCGCGCCCGCCAAGAGTCGACGTGTGCAAAAAGCTTCGTCGGTGCCCTCTTTGGCACCCAACGCGTTGTACTTGGGCGGCACTTCCGATCGATGCGATCACAAATACATTTGCTTTTCGACACTCCTCGTTTGTTTGAAATGGTTGAGGGGCCAGATTGGGCCTCCGTACCGTCCAGCTGATCTTCCGCAAGACAAAGGAAACAAAAGCAAGAATTCCAGGATCCGCTCGCGTCACCTCATTGTTTGTCTGACGTGGCGACGCGGTCGGAGGTGCTCCTTTGGAAGGCGTCCATCTCACGGGCGGTCCGGAGCGGACGACCAAACGCTCGTCGACGCGACGCGCACACTTACCCTCCACACGGTGAGGGCAAAGAGCGGAAACTCCGGCGAGATGGCAAACATTTGTTGTTGCAAGCGCCGCAGGCTCTCCGCCTGCTCCGACGTGGCCTCCCGTCGCCGCGACGCCGGGGAGTCGCTCGGCAGCTCCTCCAGAATCCTCAGCAGGCGCAAAGCGTTGTGGTACTCGTCCACGGGAATCTTGTCCGCGCCGGCGTTCTCCTGGACGCAAACGGGGCCACAAAACACATTCCCGCCTGAATCGCCGTTCGTCGCCGCTTTCTAAAACGACCCCCCCTCAAAGGCCGCTTCGCGAGGCTATTCCGGTTCGACGCTCACTTTGGCCAATGTGTGCGTGTGTGTCCAAAAAGTCAAAGGATCAAAGGATAGCTTCGGTTTACAAAGAGATGGAAAGGGAACGACGACGAATGAGAAGAACATCTGTTTCGCAAGAACCAGCGAGTTTTCACGTTTTTTGCATCACCAAAAAGCTGCCATTTGCGTCCACTTTCCCCCCCCGGGTGCGTGCGTGCAATTACGTGGATCGCGCGGCCCAGCGCGTCAGCCAGCGCGCTGACCTCGGACAGGATGCGAGCCACCAGGAAGGACTTTGCCATGCGACTCCGCCCCAACGCCGCCAAGCACTCCGTCAACAGTTCAAGCGTCTGGAAGGAGAGCCGCGCCACGGTCGTCATTTTTCAAGCGCTCACACTTTCCCCGAGATTCCGGCGTCTGGGCGACTTGGACTCACAGGCTGACGCCGGCCGGCGCGCAGCAACGTGGCGGCGAGCTCCCTCAGGGAGGCCCGCAGGCGCGTCGTCAGACGGGCGGCGGGCGCGCTCTGCGAGGAGAACTCGTCCATGGCGCGGCTCGACGCCTGGCACGCCTTCAGGGTGAGCTGCCACGCCCCCGGGGGAAGCGAGCGGTCGCGGAACCCGGCCGCCAGCGCATCCAGGAGCCGGCACAGCTCGTCCTCCGAGAGTTGGCCCGCGTCGCCGGGCCGCTGGAAGGCGCCCAGCGCGCTTAGGACGTGGTGGTGAGGAAGCCGCGCCCGCCGCGGAGCGTCCTGCCGCTGAATGGAGAGAAGCCGCGGCCGGGGCGAGACAAGCTGACCGAGTTCAGGCGTGTCCGAGTCGCTGCCCGGAGCGCGCTCGCTCTGCGTGGTGGCATCGTGACCTGACGCGCGCGCACACACACACACATAAGCGCGTCACTAAACTCGTGCCCATGACGGGATGCCGGCGGTGAGCACCTGTGCTTGCTGCCGCCGTGGCGATGAGCAGGGCCCGCCGTAGCCCGAGGACCTCCCGTTGGAGCTCCTCCGCTTTGCCCCTCCACATCTGGTCGCGGTCCCTCAGCCTCGCCGCCAAAGCCTCAAGGCGCCGGGCGGCGGTCGCGCCGTCCGGCGCGCCCCGGATCGCCGCCATCGCCACAGCCACGCTCACTTTGGCCAAAAAGCACCCTGACCCACCCACGCGCACGCACAGCATTCAAACCGTGAACACTGGGCAGTCCAAGTTCGCTATGTTGACCGCTAAGTGCTGTGACGCTCCGCCAACAAATCAAACGTCGCCTCCATTGGGAGCGCCGACAGTTCAGCGTGCCGTCAAGCACCTCGGAGCCAATTATGTATGCACAGCAGGTATCGCGCTGGGTTTTGGCGTCGTTCAGCTTAAACAAACACCATCGAGCATGAAAAGTGACCTCCAAAATGTGTCTCGGTTTTAACGACCACTTGGATATTTCACCCACTCGGTCAACATTCTCCAACTTTGTCGTTCCAAAGTTGAGTAAGGAAGTTCAATCGGTCAATTTCCAGACACGTGTTGGGGGCTCGCGGTTTGCCAAGCCCGTCGCCACGTAACTTGGACCCGCCGGGACGGCTCTTATTTTCGGTCACAAATTTCCGGAGTTTGTTTTCTTCCCCAAATGCAAATTCCTCCAACGCTGCCATGCGGTCGGGGCTGGTGCAAAAGTAGGCATCCACTCGTGTCAAACCCTTGCCAAAGTTTGGCTCGTGCTCAAGCGTCAGTTGACCTGCCAGCTTGATTGGAAGCACCTGCGGCAAGGGTTGGACTTTGGCCACCTGAATTTGACACCTCTGGACGCGACGGTATACCCGCTTTTGCAACCCCCCACCACCGTTTGAATGAATCGTCCAAGGCCTCACGTTCATAGCAGGAAAACCAAACTTCCAAGTTCAGCCTTTCAAAAATCCGCCCGATGGTGCCACTCGTATCAACGAACTTACCTTTGAAATTTGGCACTCACTCACTCACGTACGGCATGTAGTGAGCCATTGATGTCCCCAATGGCATCGTGTTGCTTGTGAACAAGTTGAACTCGATGCGAGTTCGAAGGAAGGCCGCGAACTCACCTTGCCGGCGCTCCATTCCACGAGCTGGCGACGCTAACGGCCGCTAGCTTTAGCCCACACCCGTCCACCTCGACGGCGATTTTTATCCGCGGTACACGCAAACCATTAAGCGTTTGTGACAGTCGCGCTTCGAGGTATGGGTCGCAACTTGAAATAAACGGATTCCCAAAGACGTGTCACGACGAGCACCGAGCACACGGGAAGCCTTTCGAGCCGACCGCCGGCGGGAACAAGAGGGGCAATGACGTCACGTCACTTGCCACCATTTTGATTTGTCGTGAAACTTTATTGAAGCGCTCCATCTCAAATTAGGGGCTAAAACAGGGGCCCACGACATCCTTGCCAGGACATGCACAGGAGCCAGCCGCCTTGTGGGCTACTTGTGTTGCCTCTTGAGATTTTGGTTTTGTTTTTGGGGGGGCAAAAAAGGCTTTTTGTCGAAGTGGAGGAAAAACACAAGGAGGAGACGGGAAATGTGATTCCGGCCTACTGTCATCATCTTGTGCCGTGTGCTTGTCAGTGATGACGAAGCAGGAATAAAGTATTTTATGTTGTTGTTCTTCTTCAAACGGGAAGTGATGTTTGTGTGGTCCAGAACCAGCCACCTGCAAATTACTTCATTTTAAACACAGAGAAAATTAAAAGGATCATTGGCGTCGGCGTCTGGATTTTATCTCACGCGCGCACGCACACACAGAACAGCACAAAAATAGCCCAACATTGGAATCGAGCTTTTTCCAAGACAACATATCAAGCTAAACGTTGCAATGATCGGTGGGCATGACGAGCGGAAATATTGCGGCGACTCTCGGGGATACGGTGCGGCGACTGTGCGGCATCTCCAGGGCCAACTCTGCAGTGACCCCGAAGCCTCCGAAACAGAACCCGCGGCGATTCCGGAGACATCTCAAGAGGAAGGCGAAGGTGACTTGGGAGCACCTTGTGAGATTGCGGCGCATGTTCGCGGCTGGGGGTCCAGCCGGTGCGCCGGGTGAAATCCATTAACAGGATGAGGGCGGCGAGCTACGATGGTAAAGCGGGATTATGTCTGAGCGGCAGATAAACAGATTATTCCCAAAACAGAGTCTACTCTTTTAAGCTCGCGGCTTCCTTTGGGCGGGGCGAAGGGCACTTTCCCTCCGCCGCCGGACGAGTCGCGCAATTCCTCAGGAGGCTTGGGACCGCGGACGCTCGTCGGCCTTCACGTGACCTCCGCCGGCGGAGCAGAGCAGAGTTCGCGGTCCACGTATCGGCCGCTCGTGGGTTTGGTTTGTTGTTTTTTTTTTCCCCTCCCGCACCCCCGCCCCACAATGTTCGGGGGCTTGGGCCTACTTCTGTTCCTCATCGGCTGGCAGGTCCAAGGTGAGCCCGCTTCTTTTGTATTTGTGGAGAATGCGGCCCGAGACTCGAGAGACTTTTTGAACTGCGAAAGCTCATTAGGATTGCATAAGTAATCCCACGAGCTCCACAAAACACCGGCAGGAATCTCGGAGGGACGTTGCCATTTTCAGCAGTGAAATCGTATCTTTTTGTCTCTCATGAATACTCGGGTAAGGACCCATCGGCACTCGCGCAAAGCGAGCCGTCGTCATTTTCAGCGGTGCCTTTTGCAAGGTCTTCCCTGGACGTTCTTTCATTGACTCACTCCAGTGAGCTTCTTGGACGTCATTCGCTCCCCTCGTTTGTTTCCCCCTTTTTCCCCTCGCAACGAGAGCCTTCGTGCTTGCACTCGCTTCGGACACGAACAAAGAGCCGTTCCTTTTGGTCAATAGCCTTGACTTGGATTTGATGACAAATGTATTGAGAAGCGTGTCCAATTCCAAACGGGAAGGGGGAGGAAGGAGTTGCTGTGGAGCACGCTCAGAAAACAATTTGTTCCGAGAAGAATGGCGAGCGAAGACGGTCATGGAGCATGAGAGACGAGCTCTCTCCTCAGCATTTCGTAAAAAGGAACTTCTTTCTTGGAGGGAGGGAGGGAGGGAGGGAGGGATGCACAGCGCTGGGAGGAGGCCGGAAGGGACGCTTGCTAAGTGTTGTTGTCCAACGCAGGCGCTCCTGCCCTGCCGGCCTCGGGTCCCAAGGAGGTGGCGGTCTCGCCCCCGGCGAGCGCGGCAGCGACGGCGGGATGGCTGCCGGAGCTCAGCAGGCGGCGCTCCAAGAGGTCCGTTTTCCTGCACTCCGGGGTGCGGGTCTGCCCTCAGGAGACCGTCGGCGAGGTTCTGGCCAGTCATCGGGCCTACTACCAGCTTCGAGGTGCGCTTGTCCGCGCCCGCGTCCTCGGTCGCCATTTGACAAGCCTCATTTTTTTCTCTCTCTTTCATTCTTTCCTTGTGGCGCCAGTGTGCCAGGAGGCCGTGTGGGAGGCCTACAGGATCTTCCTGGACAGGATTCCCGGGACCACCGAGTACCAGCGATGGGTTCACGCGTGTCAACGGGAGTCACTCTGCATTGCCGACATCGCCAGAAATTTCAGCGATTCCGAGGAGCACTTGGACCTGATCCGCAGGGTGAAGACCACCGACGGCGACTGCGCCTGCGCCGCCCAACGCGCGAGAAAAGCTCACTCGCGTGCGCGCGCATCTTTGAAGTCCCTGCAAAGTGAAAAGAAATCTTTTCTCAATTGGACACACCAGCGAGCGAGCGCAGGATGAAAAGAAAGAAGCCGGCTTGGTCCAAACGTAATCCAAACTTAATCTAAGCGTAAATAGTCATCGTCCGTAACAGTCCTGGCATGCAAATGACAAGTTGATTGCCGTAATCCTCAGTGAGCGACTTGCGAGCGGCGACCTTGGCAACGTCGGCCGAGGCTTTCTACCGGGCTCCTTTAGCGGCAGACTCACCCGCTATGTTTGGCATCCGTTTGTTTTGTCTGTGCGCAGAGGATGGAGCGCCTCAGAAACGACGAGCCGCAGTCACGGTAGGCGGCGACTTCCTTTCTCTCGCAGATGATCCCCATTGACGTTGCCCACCCAGCCAACGATCATCCGGTTGTCCTCCCCGTATGACCGGCAAACGGCTCGTCGCTGGGATGGATCGACCCGAACCGCCGTCTTCTCACGCAGAGCTCCGCCGACTCCCGGCCCCGTCGCTTCCGACGCGCCAGGTGGGAACGTGCTCCGGAACATCGCAGCGGGAAAATCTTGGCGCCGCTTCTCCTCCTTCCCGCACGACAAACCGTTGCGGTGGCTCTGACCGGGGGATCTTTGGCGTTGCGTTGCTTCCAGAAGTTCTGACCGCCGTCGCCCCCCTCGGCCGGGCCGCTCCCACTCCGAGCTCGACCCCTGATCCGCAGCGGAGCGCCGCGGCGGAAGGAGAGGAGGTAGGCGCCGTCCTGTGGAGGACGGTATCCGGAGTTTCTGAGCGCCTACCGAGGGAAAAAAAAAGAAAATAACAATCCTAATGAAGTGATTTCCAAAGAGCACAACCTTCTCCCTCTCCTTCGCGGCGAAGGACTCTGACATTCCGAACGTTGTCCCTGAGAGTCCGGCGGAGCAGAGGGTCGAGTTCGGCATCGACCTGGTGGATCCGGGATATCGGGAACTGCTGGACGACCCGGACTCTCCCCAGTACGTTGACCTGGCTCACCACCTGCAGGACCAGGTGGGCTTGTGCTGTTCCAGAGACCGTCCGTCTCCCTCGTTTTCCCTTCAAGACGCGTTCCCGTTGCGGTCCCGACTTCCTCCCCGATGTTCGTCCCCGTGGCGGCGTTTTCACTAAAGTGTCTGCGCACCTTCGAGCGCTCTGAAAAGGACACGATCTCATCCCCGCACGGCAAACGCGCAGCGCAAGCCGCGCGGTCCCGCGTTGACCTCGTGGCGGCGGACGTCAGGGGAAGTGGCCTCGGTGGAGTCGCATCGGCCCCGTTCACAGCAGGGAGCTGTCCGATGACGTTCCAAAGACGATTATGTCACGGCAGATCCCAGCCGGCCAAAGATAGACGGCGGCCGTTCACGCGGTCCCTCCTGCTGGCGCGGCCTCGGGGACCTCCAAGGGGTGTTTGAAACCGAGCGTTTCTTCCGCAGATGCAGCACGTTTTCGACAAACTTCCAG